CCCCAAAACCCCAAAACCCCAAAACCCCAAAACCCCAATATACTCAGCCAAGATTGAATTAGCTAATAATTATCACCGTTTTATGAAATTTCGCTTCCAAATGGAATATGGTTCTCTAATTTGGCTCAGAGAACACCTCACCTTCATCTTCAGTGCTATAATGTGTCTTAATAATATTGCTTGCAAGAGTAAAGATCTGCACATTAGGAGAATGCTGAAGTTCTTCAAGAATGTCTGTCCCTCCTTCACTTTGGAAATTGAACAATGGGTGGAAAGGATCATCCTGCTGGAAATGCTTTGCTGTATCTAGAATTCGAGAAATAGCAGTCAGTATCGCCTCCATAAGTTTTCCTTGCGTTTGAGATTCTTTCAATATGATGTTAAGAAGAGTCAGGATAGAGTATTTAGAAACTAAATCCATTTTTAATTCGAGGTCGGCACTTTCAATAAGGTTTCAGATACACCAGCAGGCTTCCCTTTTGATATCGCTGTAAGGTCTTTCTTCGATATACTTCAGTGTCTGTTGGAAGAAAGTTGAGGAGAAGTATTCGTAAGCTAATTCAGCTCCACAGGTCACTAAATTAGAAGTAATCCAGAATAATTCTTTCTGCTTTTGAGGGTGGAGTTCTTTTTGGCTGATTAACTCTGAAGCTTTTGGGAAGAATCCTTGCTTTAGAATTGCATTATGTATACCTGGTCATTCAGAGCTACATAAATTTCCGAGCACTCTGAGGCAGACGTTGAATGATCTATTTTCTGGTTCTAAGAACTGGAAGACTCTCTCCAAGATGTTACTGTTCTGAATAGATTTTAATTTTTCAAACTCTAATTCTTTATCATATTCTTCTCTTTCGGTGAGGATTTTTAAGCAAAACATTCAATCGAATTGGGCTTCTTCATCCTGAATGTAAAGAATTGTAGCGGAATTTTCTATCAAAATATGCAAGAATTCCAAATTTCTTTTAGGGCATTTGGCTAAGTTAGATAGGCAATGAGCAATTACTCTGAGCAGGTTGAGGGTAACTTTTGCTGAATTTAGAATTTCTTGGATTACATCGATCACATCTGTGTCTAAAATTTCATCATATGGAGCTCCTTCTTGGGAAATATTGGCCAAAATCCAAAGAGTGTTGGTAACAACCTTCTCTTCAGAATTTCTCAGCATTGTCTTACAATAAGAGATGAGACCGAACTCTGGACGAAGGATGTACTCATAAATCTCTTTATTCTCTGATGAGGTGATGTTTACCAAAATCCAGGTAATTTCTATCATTAACTCTGTGACTGATTCAGCAGACCCCATTTTCATAATCAGAGGAAATAACTCTGCATTAATTACATCTTCTATATGTATGAGGTCCCCTATACAACAGAGAATTCTAATGTATGTGCAAAGAGCAATGTAAACCTTGGGTTCTAAATCATCAGCTTCTAATGCTTCTTTCACTATTTGAAGTTTTCCACCCAAACTATCAGTATCTTGGAACAAAGAAGGGCACATTTTCTCAAGAATTGTGGAATACTCTTGCATAGTATCAGAGAGGACTCCATCAGATTGAACAATACCAGTGTCAGTAACTCTGAGATCTTTTTGCGCTTCTTCATCATTCTTTTCCAGAATCCGGATAGCTCTCTTTGCTCTGAAAATATCCTGCTTTTTCTTCTTGCGGAGATCAACCAAGTACTTCTCTCGTGTCCCTTTACTGTCCTTAGTAGGGTTTAAGAATTCTTTTCTTTTGAGTAGTATTTTGTTCTCCATTTTTAGATTCAATTATAATTAATGAAACCGGGGTTTTGGGGTTTTGGGGTTTTGGGGTTTTGGGGTTTTGGGGTTTTGGGG